CGCAGAGCTCCCGGGCGGGCCTCGCGCCGCCACCCCGGCTCGCCCAGGATGCGTCTCGGAGGCGGCTCCCAGCGAGCCCGGTCAGCCGGCGACTTCCACGTCGGCCTCCCGGCGGGAGGGGGCCAACGGCGGCCTGAGCGTCCGCGCCGCCACTTTCCACGCGAGGCCCCCGCGAAGCCGTGGACACCGGAAAGGGGGGAAAAAACCGAGAACCCGACATCTCTCCTGCGTTTGTTTTCCTGGACAGGGAAGGCTTCTGAAACCGGGAAATAGGGGTTTTCCTTTTAAATCCCGACACCGACGTGGCGAATCTGCTGACCACGAGCGCAAGTCGGGCTGCGCGGAAGCGGCGCCGGCGTACGCAGGCGGCCGCGGCTGCGGCGGCGCGTGTCCTTTGGCCTCCGGTGGGGGCGGCCCCGGCTTCCCGGCGTGGTGACCGTGGGGAGGGAGATCTGCCCTTGCCCGGGGCGGCGGGGCTGGCCTCAGGGCGCCTGCCTTTTCCCAGCCGACTCTGGACCCCTGGCCGCCTTCCTGGGCCCGGCAGTGGGGACGGGCAGGGCCTGACGCGGGGGACCCGGGGCTTGCTCCCCCCGGCTGTGACCGTGTTGGAAGGAGGAAGGGGACACGCCTGGAGGGTCTGGACTCTTTTTTTTGTTTTTAGTTAAACAGTCATTTTATTGCTTGAGTACATAGACAAATTTGTGCAACCAGGGCCGAGGCTGTGGACGACTCCTATTTCCAATTGGGAGGAAGGACTCGCTTGGCCTTGTAATATCGAGCCAGTCGGTGAATTCGACTCGCTGTCAGAATCAGGCGGAATTTAGCAACCTTATCCTTTCTGTTCCTCTCGAGGTGCTTTCGGACAGCAACTGCTTTCTTAATTAAGTGGTAGAGATCCTCAGGAAGATCAGGAGCAAGCACTTTCGGCTTAAGGAGTCTCAAGATTTTATTGCCACACCATGGGAGTCCCTCCGGATCACACCGACCTGTGAGGGCGTCAGGCCCTTCTTGGCCAGTTTGTAAATCTGCTCCTTCTCGTCGTCAGACGTCAACTTCAGCCAAGTGGGGACGCCGCGGCGGTAGGGTAGCGCCGATTGGGACAGGCCCTTCCCGGGAGCGTGCATGCCACCCCGGGAGCGTGCATGCCACCCCTGGTGGCGGCACGGCTCATGCCGGCCTCTAACTCCCCGGCTCCAGCGAGCCTCCCGCCTCGGCCTTCCTCCGGGCCAGCCTCTGGCTTTAGTGGGGTGAGGAGCCTCCACGCTGTTGTCCACGGCGGCTGCGCCCCAGTTTGCGGGCCCGCCCGCGGTGCCTGTTGTGTGGTGACTTCCGTGCCTGCCTCTCGGCGAGGCGTGGAACTCGCTGGGCCCGTTGCGTTGGCCCTTGACCCTGAAATCAGTCCTCCTCACAAGGAAGAGCTTGGTTTTGTTTTTGTCTGGTGAGTCGAGAGAGGACTCCGCCTAAACATCTGGATTGTTGATTGTTTGTTGGAGTCGGGGCCTCACTCTGTCGCCCAGGCTGGAGTACCGTGGCACCATCGCGGCGCAGGGCAGCCTGGCACTACCGGGGCTCAGGTGAGCCTGGCGCTACGGCCGTGCGCCACCACGACTAACTTTTTTGATCTTTTGCAGAGACTTGGTTTCGCTGTGTTGCCCAGGTTGGTCTTGACCTCCTGGGTTCAAGCAGTCCTCCCGTCCTGGGCCTCCTAAAGTGCGGAGATGACAGGCATAGGCCACGGCTCCCGGCCATCCCAAACCATTTTTAAGGCTGTCCTTTGAAAGCATTGTGTCGTCTAACTGTTGGATCTCAGCGTGCTTAGAGTCCACAGACCTTTCCCACCGAGTCTTCTTCCATCTCCTCTTGAACAAGGTTGTTAGTTCCTGCCACTTGGCAATCTGGGCTCTTGCTGCTTCAAACTTCCGTCCATGCCAGATTTAGGTTTGAGTGCAGTGCATGGGATTCCTGAAAAGGTGAATTCCCTTTTTAAAAAAGTGAGCAGAATTTTATGCTGTAAACATTTATATTCAGGCTATGTATTCTAAGCCACGTAATCAAATGGAATATGTCAGGATGCTTTGTAAGCTGGAGTGCAAGTGTGTTTCTTTATTCATTTTAGAGTAGAAAAACAGGTTTATTGAGTAGCTGCAAGGGAACAGCAGACAACAGCGATAAGGGCACTGCCTACCTACAAATTTAAAGTTATTTGCAGTGACTCATGCCTATAATCCCAGCACTTTGGGAGGCCAAGGTAAGAGGATTGCCTGAGCCCATGGATTCGAGACCAGCATGGGCCGTTGGTGAGACGTCATCTCTACAACAAATCAAAAAACAAAAAAAGTTAGCCGGGCATGGTGGCACGTGCCTGTAGTTTCAGCTACTTGGAAGGCTGAGGCGGAAGGATCACCAGAGCCCAGCAGGTCAAGGCTGCGGTGCCCTCCAGCCTGGGTGACAGAGTGAGACTCCAACTCAAAAAAAAAAAAGTATTCTTGTTGGCTAGATGGCGCTTCAACCTTTCATGACTATATTAAGCAGCTAATTGCAAGTCACTATGGAGACAACAGTGTAATAAAGACCAAACAAAACCCATTAGACAATTTGATCAAAAACTTTTATCTTTCAGACTCTCCCCATTCAGTGCTTTGCTTTGTCAGTAAAGATCTGGTCCAATTCCCTGTATGCATGAAAAACAAAAAACCACTTGCAGAAACTTACCTAAAGAAAAATCACAATTATGAAGATAGGGTGTTACCAGTTTTTCTAAACTGCACTTATAACATGTAAAATAATTTTCTTCAGACTACTACGTTCAAGGTCTTATGATAGGCCCATGAAGTAAAAAGGTGTTAAAACAAAATTAAAATGACTTCAAAAAGTGCTGACATTTAATTTTATTTATTTTTTATTTTATTTTATTTTTTTTTGAGTTGAAGTCTCACTCTGTCACTCAGACTGGAGTGCAGTGGCCGCCTGCTGGGCTCCGGCGATCCTTCCACCTCAGCCTTCCAAGTAGCCGGAATTACAGGCATATGCCATCATGCCCGGCTAATTTTTGATTTATTGTAGAGATGAGGTCTCGCCAAGTTGCCCAGGCAGGTCTCAAACCCGTGGGCTC